TAATTCAGCCAGATGAATATTGAATGGAGATAATACTTACATATTTATTTTATTTTACGCTACATTCAACAATTAATCTTATAATTCACCAATTACCCGTTTCCAATACGAAAAAATTGATCAAATGTTTTTAGTTAGAAGGTCACATAAAATTGATGCAATTAATGCATTGGCTCAGTCATTGAATTTATGGATTATGAGTATTCAGCGGAAAATATTTTTTTTGGTTGCAAAATTGAAACTATTTCCATTGCAAATGCATGCATTTAAAAAAAGTCTGTATTCGCATGAGGTTTTGAATACATTTTTATGCGAACGATATTTCCAATAAATATTTTGTAATCTTATCTTCAAGGATTAAATCTAAGGGCTAAGTAAATTTCCTTCTCCCCTAATTTGTGTTTTTTCATAAAGCGGATCAAGGCGCTTATGACATTTCTTGTGATCCGGATGCTGCCTCGTAATCCGTTTTAAATTACGACCTCTGATCGTAATCAACCTGCTTCTCAGTCTACTTCCGGTTTTAGCGACATTTTTAGCCGACGTATTTTCCTAATAAATTATTACTGGGCACCGAAGCTCGGTAATAATTTTAATGAAGATTTTTTAGAATAAGAAAATAATTTTATATATTCCGATGCAGAGTGGGTGAGGAATTCATCTAGATTTTATACTTGCCATCTAATATAAGTTTACCGTGCAAAGTTTAGCACATGATTACAAATCATTCAACTTATGAATATATCCCAAAAAACTTGAATTCATATAATACTAATCATGGACTTGAAATATTGGGTGTCTTGAAGACTCAGTAAATTCTGTTGGCTATTTTTATCCCAGTTTATGTACTGTTTCGGAAATAAATGTATTAAAAATGTAATTTTTGATGATTATTTTCAAGGAATTTGGCGCAAACAAAAATTTTCAGTGCGAATTTCAAAATAGTGATAGAAAATAAGCTCAAGTTTGTGCCATAATACGCCAAACACGAATAGAAAAATCAACGTGGATTTATAATTTTTTCAGCTTGTATATATAAGGTAAATAAAATTAGAAAATTAAAATAAACAAGTTGACCTCGACAAATGTTTGTCGAGGTCAACTTGTTTGTTTTAATTTTCTAATTTTATTTACCTTATACTGTATATACAAGCTGAAAAAATTATAAATCCACGTTGATTTTTCTATTCGTGTTTGGCGTATTATGGCACAAACTTGAGCTTATTTTCTATCATTATTTTGAAATTCGCACAGAAAATTTTTGTTTGCGCCAAATTCTTTGAAAATAATCATCAAAAATTACATTTTTAATACATTTATTTAATAATACGCAGAAAAAAATTATTACTTCCGGATTATTGGAATAAACATTAGCATTGATCAGTTGGGTGATGAGGTTTGTTGGTTTAATGTTTACATAATCTGATGCAAACAGCATGTATGCTGACCAAAGGCAAGTACACACATTGCAGCTTTATCATGCATTACAGCTTAGTAGTAGGGATTGTCACGCAGTGATATTGGACACGCAGTAGACCTGTCACGAAGTAAGTAATACATGTCACGCAGTTATTAGTATCACGCAGTAATGCGTGGATGACAGTTAGCTACATTACTGCTTCACTGCCTTATTAAGTATTAGAGATGATGTTAAGTAGACACTGCCAGTTGCGTGGCAGAAGCAACAAGCCTCGGGAATGAGACATTAGGCCGCTACAGCCCCTTCCTGCAACACTAACTTCTAATTAACGGCCGCTGCTGCCTCTGTGATAACCGCGTGAACCTCATTAATGAATGTTTGTTAGAGCCTCATTCATGAATGTTTGTGAGGGCTCAGTCATGAATATTAGTAAGGGCGTCATTCATGAATGTTTGTGAGAGCCTCATTCATGAGTGCGGGTTGGATCCACATCCTGTATTTCCTGTGCGCCAAAGCAACGAAATTCCAACAATATTTGCAACAACCATAGGATATTGTACCATCGTGTTGCACGTGGAAAACAACTAGAAATATTTCATCTACGTTTAAATTATTTACATTTGAATTCAGAATGAAAATTCTGCAAGTTTAAAGTATGGCAAAAGTTGGGGCCTTGAATAGTGGCGGAAATGGCTATACGACCACTCGTTTTTTTCTGAATATTTTTTCTTGCATAGAAAATACTGGATATTAATTATACGTGGTTAAACTAAGTTTAAAAACGGTTCCAACGGTATACGAAAAAAAAATAATTTTGTCAAAATATATGAGAATAAATTATGAAAATTAGAAAAACCTATAGGTGGAAATGGTTATAAGACTATGATGGGTTTTTCATAATTTTAGTATCTTTCTGTTATATTTTCACGTTAAAAAGTACAGCAATATAAAGAACATCCTGATTTTCGCCACGTATGGTACTTCTGGTGTAGTTCAGTGTCCTCATTTATATTTTCTCGAAGTATAAAAGATGCCAAATGTTGCAAGACTCACAGAGGCCGAGAAGGCGCAGATTTTGGCCTTTGCGAAATACGTTAGAAGCCAACGGGATATCGCAAATAAATAAAACGCTCCAAATCCGTTGTACAATCATTTGTTACTAATTCGGACGGCTACAGATCAAAAATTCTCCTTGGACCAACCCCAAAATTAACTGGCAGGGATCTTGGGCGACCGTTTTCAGAGGCTTCTAACGCTGGCAATAACTCTACTTCTGTAAATTTGGCCACTGGAGTTGATGTGACAGCATGACGCATCCGTCAGATATTGCATGACTCGAAGAAATTCAAGTACATGAAGCGGAAAAATGTCAATATATGCTCAAACAAAAGCATATTGTCAACCGACTAAACCAGCTGCAAAAAATGTACTTATCGGTGAGAGATTATCTTCAGCGAAGAAAAAAGTTCAATCTTGATGGTCCAGATGGATGGCAATGCTATTGGCACCACCTGGACCGTAAGCCTGAATTCTTTTCCAAGCGGAAATCTGGTGTTGGTTCGGTCATGGTTTGGGGGGCGTTCAGCTGAATGGGAAAATCAAATCTAGCTGTTATACAAGGGAGACAAGGTTCCGATGCATACAAGCACCCGCTATTTCAAGATCTTCTCCCTTTTGCCGATGAGAAACATGAGGGTTCATATGTTTTCCAGCAAGACAATGCTTCGACTCACACTTAAAAGTCAGCAAACAAATTGTTCCAAGAGCAAAATATTACCCTGTTGCCTTGGCCAGTGCTTAACAATGACCTCAATCCCATTGAAAATCTATGGGGCATCATGGCAAGGGATCCTTCGTTCCTGGGATAAAATTCCTCCAGAGACTCTGGATTATTTGGTAAATCGCATGGGGAGAAGATGCATTGGGGTATTTAAGGCGAAAAGAGGTAAGATTGCCTATTAAACCGAGTGTATGGGACCCAAAACGGAAAAACCGTTCATGGTCTTATAACCATTTCCACCGATGTATTTCTAATTTTCATAATTTCTTCTCATTTATTATGAAAAAATTATTTATTTTTCGTATAGCGTTGGAACCGTTTTTAAATGTAGTTTAACCTCTTATAATTTGAATCCAGTATTTTTTATGCAAGAAAAAATATTCAGAAGAAAAATGGAGGTCGTATAGCCATTTCCGCCACTGTACACAAAATTTTAGAATTGGGCAATAAAATGAAATCCTTATCGAATTGGTAAATCTTCATACTGTCTAGTAATTCGTAAGTCCCATATATCTCATTATTTATTTTCAATTCTAATACATATTACTTTTTGATTTAACAATATATTTGGAGTTTCTTAGCAAAGATCTATCAGTAACAGGAATATAGGGCGGCGCTGTGGTCAGGATGAGGTGACGCTGACGAGAGGATGGCAAGAAAAACGGTCCTGCGTATCTCGGTGCGACCGTCGCCCAGATGGACGACGTTGGCGCCGCGGGTGGTGTGCGTTATTTTAGGGAAATTCCGTGTAGAAAGGAGTCTTTTGCAGGTAAATTTACGTTAGATAGGGAAATTCCGTGTATAAAGGATTTTTTTTGCGGTGAAATTTACGTTAGAAAGAGATGCGAAGTAGAAAATTCTAGGGTTAAGTGGGAGATAAATGAAAGACAATGGGAGGTACGTTTGGAGCCAGAATTTGAGCTTCAATAAGGGCATATCCTGAGAGGTAGAGAAGAATAGAATAGAAGTGTCGGCGTTGAAGAAATAGGCCCATGGCCTGTTGCCGATTCTTGAACTTTTCGTGACTTGATTCACAAGGGATCCGGCCTTTGGAACCCGATCTTTCCATAATGTTTTTGAAGATGTTCATACTCGGAGCGTCAACGATGCTATCAGGGAGGCTGTTCCACATGTAAGAGATTATACAACAAGGAAGAAGTCAAGGAAAATATGTGACGGAGAACATTCTGAAAATATTTATAATGGAGGAAAAAAATTAACGGAATCAATGATAAAATTCAAGCTGTACCTAAGCAACATAAGATAATATTTTTTAAAATAATTTAAACCTAACTTTTTCCTACAGACGAAAAAACGCAAGACAAAAAGTGTGCGAAAGGAAGCCAAATTTCGACGCGAAAAATAATAACCAAATTAGATGTGACGCGCTCCGAAAAAATTACAATCAGTCGTCTGGTTGAAAAAAAAAGACTACTTAAAATTGAAAAATGGCGACTTCCGTATGAAAATATCCGATTCCTGTATGAAAATTTTATTATTACGATTGTGAACTATATTATATATAATATTATAAATAATTACTTCGTGTAGCTTTGAGGTCGAAAATTTTTATTTTGTTCATACACTTCGACACGGAAATCTTTCTAAGTCAACAACTACACAAAAAACTTAATAAAGTTTATAGTTGAACAATTTTTTTCTTTATATCAACCCATAGTCAGTGAAGCCCGCAAATCACCATTCCACAAATCACCTTCTTCATTCAAAAAACGAAATTAATGAAAGTAATTCATCATCAATAGGTAGTAATAACTAATTATATAATGAATGGTCGGTCATTTTATTTTTGTGCTAACGATAGCGTCCCTCAAGTCGAGAAATAAGTTCATAAGAAATACGTTTGGCAATTTTTTGCAATAATTCGCTACTTTTACTGTAAGTGGGTCAGTGTTATCCCGTGCAAATTGTTTTGTTCACTCATAGACTCGCACACGTACAATGTAAGAGCCTTCATGTCTGTTCCATTCATTGAATAATCGAAGCCTCTATTTAGAGTGACACTACTCAGTGCTATCACCCCTCAGTGCTATCACCACTCAGTGCTATCGCCACTCAGTGCTATCACCACTCAGTGCTATCGCGCCTCAGTGCTATCACCACTCAGTGTTATTACCACTCAGTGCTATCACCACTCAGTGTTATCACCACTCAGAGCCAACAATCACCTTCATCGCCACCCTCTCACCGTCTCCTCAGCTAAGGTGAGTGCTATCAAGTTTACCAAATTCAATTATGGTGGCATCGAATTTCGCAAAATTCACTGCCACCATAATTGGCATATTAATGAAATGAATATGTTAAATTTATTTTCTTTAATTTAAAGTGAAATATTTAACCTAATTTAAAACCTCCGACCTGTGTTTCTCTCAGTGAATTGCACATAAATTTTGAAGTAGGGGGCCCTTGGGATTGGCTTAGCGCTCGACGAAGATCGGCCGTCTCTGCTTCTCCGATAAATGTTAACGTTCTAAAGCAGTTGTTGTGTTCCGGAAATGAGATTGAATCGACCCAGCTTTTGGCCTTGCAGTTTAGGCCTCAGTTGTGTTCATTTCCATAACAATAGAAGCCCGAAAACGTGGGATTTCTGCGACAAAAATCTGCATGGTATCTGAATGGAATTTTGTTATAAAAGTTTTTCAAATAAGTGATTTTTGAGGCTCGAGAGGAACTGGCATAACCGTCTGATTTAGAGAAGTGTGTTTTCAAGGACCGTTATTGTAGTAATTAAATTAATGAATATTGTAATGATTTGGAAGTGTTAATGATTAAATAATTTCGTATGATGAAGACCGTGAAAAATGAAATGCCCGGGAAAAATTATTCTTGGAAATTCCAAGAATTGAGAGTTCCTAGGAATTGAGATTAGCAACTTAAATTCCTAGTCTCAATTACTGAGACAAACTTGAAGGAGTTTGGCCTCTAAAATTCTATGGTGAGGTCAAATTTCCCAAACTTAGAAAAATCATCAATGAGGTAATTTTTAAGTTGTAGATACTGCACCTGTAGGAATTTTGATTGTTAAAATTAAAAAATATCTGACACTTTAATAAATATTAGTGCTATGTTGTTTTTTGTGGGGGCCAGTGAGTGAATAGATAGAGGGGATCATGTCAGTACCTACTCTATGGAGTCACGGGAGACTTTACAGAACAGAGGCAGTTGACCTAATTAAATAATGTCTATAAAAAAACCTAGTACACGAGCCTGCAGCAGCAAGAAAACTACATAGATCATTAGATCTATTATGGGACACAGATTTAAATAAAATAGGTCGTCTGGAACATAACTCATTACGAAAAAAATTTATAATAAACCGAATAGTTAATAAACATTTTCTGGAGCGGCGTGCTCATTGAACGGTTGTAGTGTCCTATAGAAGCTTCTTTTGATGCCTAGTTAACCCATTGTAGGCTTGAATCAAGCCATGTTTCGTATAATAGATAGCGGCACCCACGAGGGAGCGGTTGCTTCTGCACTACTGCTTCGTGATGACGAGCTGGTAACAACGATAGGTTGCGCCCGCACCAACGATACCTGGGGCCATATAAGCGATACCTTGGGCCAAATCAGCGATACCGTGTATTTTTACTTGCGATACCTTGTGCCATACCAGCGATACGTTGTGGTCTTACTGCGATACCTTGTGCCATACCAGCGATACCTAGGGCCATACCAGCGATACCTTGGGTTCATGAAATCGCTAGCTTGGACCCATTTTTACGATAACATGAGTTTACTGGAACGATACACTGAGCTAATAAAAAAGATATATAGGGCTTAAAAGAGCGATATAATTTGTTTGCGAATGTTGCGCTTCTTCGAGCGATATATTTTGGTTCTGCAAACTGTAAATTATTGTCTGCGTACGATACATTATTTTCTTTAGAAGGATACATATAAATCATGGCTGCGTGCTATGACTGTGTCTTGACTGCTAGACATGGCTGCATCTTGACTGCATGGAATGACTGTGTCTTGACTGCGTGGCATGACTGTGTCTTGACTGCGTGGCATGACTGTGTCTTGACTGCGTGGCATGACTGTGTCTTGAAGTGGCATGACTATGTTTTGACTGCGTGGCATGACTGTCTCTTGACTGCGTGGCATGACTGTGTCTTGATTGCATGGCATGACTATGTTTTGACTGCGTAACATGACTGTCTTGACTTTATAAATGTCAAGCTATAACCCACACATAACCTGGAACTCTCCCATTATCTAGTATTGAGCTGCAATGCATCATTAGATTATGCATCACACGGCCGCCTCGTTATGCATTCCACGGTTATACATCACACATTTATACATCACACGGCAGCTCCGTTGTACTTTTTCACACAATCAATGGACCTCAATACACAACTAGCTCAGCTGCGTGCTGATAGTCACACAAAGGAGGGCTAGGCAAAGCCAAATAAAACAAAGGCGCTGAGCACGAGTCGTCCGTCATTGTGGCGTCTGAGGACCATGTAACATCAACTGCATTTAAAATACATCCAAGTGAAGGGTATGAGTTTGGAACACAAGTGCAAAAATTTTAGAGCATTAGATGAATGTGTCGGACACAATGTTGATTGTTAGTAAGCCTTTAGACCCGATGTAGTTTGTCAAAGTAAGGTGAGGAAATAATTCACTGTTAACGTCGATACATAATGCTTTGGTATCCGGTACAAAGACGCTTGACGCATGGATGCTTTACATTAATGCACGTGAGACTGCGCTACTTGACTCAACGACACGTGACACAAAAACATGTGACACAATGAGACTCAGCATAAAAACATGTGGCACAATGGCACTTGATACAAAAAATGTGACTCAATGACCTTAGCTTAAAAAGATGTGACACAATGAAACACTTGACACAAAAACATGTGAAACAATTACACTTAGCACAAAAACATGTGACACAATGACACTTGATACACAAACAGCTGGCAAGAGTTAAGACAACGTGTGTCAAGATTCTTTAATAACTGAAACCTCAATTGAAGTTAAGAGCGCGTCACTGGCGGCCACTCGTATAGGGGAGACGAAGGCCACTAAGAGTAACAATGTATACTATAACAAATTAATGAACGAGCGCGTTGAACAATGGCGTGCGTAATGTGATGGTATCTCTACTGAATAATCCCTGAATAACGCTGAACAACGTTGATTACGATTTGATTGTGTTGAAACAATGTTTTTTTAACGTAATATTAATGTCAGATGCCTGGTGAGCACGCAATGGCTGAGTAGTGTTAAAAAGGAATTCGTTAAATAGCAATGCTTTGTTGTCACTTGAACATGAAGTCATCCTCTTACATTCATAATGAACAATTTCGAGATCATAGATGCGTCGTACCAACTTATTTCCTTTAATTTCCGTACAGACATTCTATTAACAACTCTTTCGCTTGTCAAGAGGCTTAACTCCTTTTAGCTTTTTAGCACGGCATTAGCGACATTAAGTTTGTACTGGGATGCGATTTACGTTAAATTATGGATAGAAGGCTGAATTAAGCCGTTTACTTCACTTACATAGCATTCAAATAGCACGTGCAAATTATTAGTTGTTAATTCATGGCTTACGCAAGTTCTCTTCCCACCCTAGAGTTTTCTATATGTGTAGAGAGTGCTAACGCTGAAATAGACACGCTCGTAGCAAATGCAGCAATTTCTTAAAAAAGCAGACATTCTTAAAGCAGACATTTTTTAAGCTGACATTAATTAAAGCTGACATTCTTAAATTTAGGCAAGTATCCCGAGCAATATCGCGTTAAGCATCCCAATGTGTACACTCAAATACTCAGGTTTTTACTTCGTATTAATATACTCATCTAAAATTCACAAGCACGTCGACTTTAACTCGCAGGTCCCATGTTTGCATCGTATCCAGTTTCCATCAGTATTCGTCTAAAATATAGGCCTGAGTGTGAAGGTTTATTTAAAGCGCTTATTTGCATTGCAACTACGGCCAAGTCATCATATGGCTTATTCATTATCCTTAATTCTTATTCGTACAGGACTACATAAAACCTAGGAAAAAAGACTTTGAAGTTTAAAAGTCTCGTCTGACAAGGTCAAAGGAGCACGTGCAATCGCCCACTAGAAGACTGGATCTCATCGGAAGAGATTTTCAATTAAAATGCGATGATCATGGGATATGAGGCTCATAGAATAAAGAAAGTTTAACCATTATTAGATTAATTTAAATAGACATTTTAGACGATAGCATTTGACAAGAAATTCTTTGATCTATATCAAACCATACATCAATTTATTGCTGGTAATAACAAGAAAATATGCATATTTTTCATAGGTATAACTAATTAAATCGTGGATGAACTGCACTCATTTTTCAATAATAAAATGACTTAACAACCTTGATTTATTTAGCTTCATTCATTCATTATTCAATACTGGAATCACGCAAATCTTCTTATAATATATATTTTTGGAAAGGGAAATTAAAACCAAAAGTTAATCTGAAACAAGTATAAGATCAACTCTAAATCCAGAGGATTTAGGGATCAACGAAAATTGGAATTCAATCAACTTTATTGGGAGTGTCAAGTAAATTAAATGTTCGGTCCAAACTGCGTGGAGTTTATCGAGAATATATTGAAAATCAATTTACGGAAATATTCGCTCCATTAATCGCTTTCAGTACAAGCACAAATTAGGTCTAAAAATTAAACTAAACCACGCAATAAAAAACAGGCAATTCAAGTCCACGCAACACAAGTCCAGGCAGCACTTGTGTGTGCAGCACGCAGTGTACAAGTCCACGCAGTACAAGTCCACGCAGCACAAGTCCACGCAACACAAGTCCACGCAACACAAGTCCACGCAACACAAGTCCACGCAGCACAAGTCCACGCAGTACAAGTCCACGCAGCACAAGTCCACGCAACACAAGTCCACGCAGCACAAGTCCACGCAGCACAAGTCCACGCAGCACAAGTCCACGCAGCACAAGTCCACGCAGCACAAGTCCACGCTTGCCTTATACGGGAGCGCACGCACGCGACTGAACGTCACACAGCGTAGAGCAGCTGTAATAAACAGCTATCACGCAGCTGTTAACAAGCTCAACCAAATAGCTGAAGAACAGCTGCACTCCGCACCTGCCGAGCGGTTATAGCACCTGTTTGCTCCACCAGCTGTTGCGCAGCAGCGCCTCGCAGCTGTAAGGCAGCTCATCACACAGATGTAGAGTAGCTGCTCCACGCAGCTGTAATGCCGCTGCACCACACTACAGCTGTAGCGCAGCTACATCGCACAGCTGTAGCACCGCTGCACCACTGCAGCTGAAATACAATTACATGGCACAGCTGTGCCATGTAATTGTAATCGTTTAAATTTGGCAATTTCTGCGAATATTTTTTAGCGTGAAATAGCCCAAAATATTCATTATTTATTGTCACACCAACCTTGAGACGTTACCGTGCACTAGCACCTCCAGCTCATCATGCGGTGCACTAGCACCTCCAGCTCATCATGCCGTGCACTAGCACCTCCAGCTCATCATGCGGTGCACTAGCACCTCCTGCTCATCATGCCGTGCATTAGCACCTCCTGCTCATCATGCCGTGCACTAGCACCTCCAGCTCATCATGCCGTGCATTAGCACCTCCTGCTCATCATGCCGTACACTAGCACCTCCGGCTCATCATGCCGTGCACTAGCACCTCCAGCTCATCATGCCGTGCACTAGCACCTCCTGCCCATCTTGCCGTGCACTAGCACCTCCTGCCCATCTTGCCGTGCACTAGCACCTCCTGCCCATCTTGCCGTGCACTAGCACCTCCTGCTCATCATTTAAGGTTACGTTCGAACTGCCATGAAAGTTTCGCTTTTACTGTCACAAAAGTCGCCATAGTCCAGCAATCTATTAAAGTCGTCTAGATGCAATAAAATTTGTGTAATACCGATATAAAATAATTTTTGTGGTTTTTGAGCAGCAAGAAGAAAGTACAAAGGTGGCTTAATGTTAAAAAAAAGTTCCTTCATATTTCTGCAAAGAGGCCTATTGCTTATCTTGAAGGATGGCGACTTAAATGATGGTGGCAACTCATGTGCAGAACTGAACGACTTATTTATCCTGCTCCTCGCAACGTTCCTGGGCTGGAATGTTGTTTGCAGAGCTAATTGCGTTGATGTCTTTAATGCCTTCAGACATGTAATATGTTACGAATATCAACGTTACTTTTTGAATAAATCTCGTCTCTCACTTTTAGGCCGCAATACCCACTATTTAGCAGACCCATTATATAAGGCGTAGTAGTACCCCTAATATCAACCACCTCGTTATAATAGTACCCTAATATGATCCCATTAGTCCCAATGAAAGCAGAGAACGACAAAAATATGTAACATTTGCCACAGAAATTTAAATTATTCGAGTTGATTTCTACCGCACGACTTACACACGCGCGTCCCCTTCGCAACGTCTCGTCTCGGTTGGCTTGACCAATTTACTTGCCATTACCTTGCGTTAATTCTGCAGTGTCCATTGATCTTTTTTGAGCCGCCATATTGACCCCCGTAACCCCCCCTTTACCCCCCTGCCTTAATCACCATACAGGGTGATTCTGGCGTGCAGGGTGACGAGTCGCCGACATGCTTTACTTATGCCAACTGCAGCATGACAGCTGCAGCGTGCTGACAGATGGCGTGCTGACAGCTGGCGTGCTGACAGCTTACGTGCTGACAGCTGGCGTGCTGACAGATGGCGTGCTGACAGCTGGAGCTGACAGCTGGCGTGCTGACAGCTGGCGTGCTGACAGCTGGCGTGCTGACAGCTGGCGTGCTGACAAGTATTGTGCTGACAGCTCCATGGCGACAGGAAATGTCTGAATATTTGTTGTGCAGTAGCACGAAATTGCCTGTCATTACGGACGAGAAGTTCGCGGTTCTTCATAACACAAAAGTTGGCAAATAATTTCTTCGCTGATTTTTTATTCCAGTAATTGGCTCAACTTAAACTCACCCCCTCCCCTCACCCCCTTCCTCCCCTCGCCACTCCATTCCCATTCCAGGCCGATGACAGGCCTGGAAGCGACACCTGCAATTCCAGGTAAATTACCGCTGCCCAAGATGACTTACTTTTGTCTATACCCACTCTCCCCTCTCCCCTTCACCTACCCCACTCTCCCCTCTCACCTCCGCCTACTCCACTCTCCCCTCTCACCCTCGTCTACCCCACTCTCCCCTCTAACCCTCGTCTACTCCACTCTCCCCTCTCACCCTTGTCTACCCCACTCTCTCCCCTCTCCTCTCACCTTCGCCTCCCCCACTCTCCCCTGTACATCCCCCACTCCAGCCCTCCTCTCTGCTTCCCCCACTCTAGCCCCCCTCTCTGCCTCCCCCACTCAGCCCCCAAATCCCTTGCGGGATCCATCACTTACTCCCTCGCTTGCTCCCCTCTCTTCCCCCGTGGTCACCCACTCTATCAACCACGGTGTCTCATCACTCACTTACCCCATTTATCATTCATCATTCTCAATATTCGTTTCCCTCATCATCTTCATTCTTGTACCATAATTCCTGTGATCCTATACGGAAGAGGATCCTGCAGGCTATAATGGTAGGATAATATCATAATAATGGGATATTGTGTGTGATAAAAGAGCAAGGAAGTGAGTAATAGACGAAGCATATTAAATATATAATTTATTCAAACGGATCAAAGGTTTGAACTTTGAACTGGTGTGACTTGAAGTAGGCCTTCACCGGGCCTACTTCAACTCACTATTATGAGGCGCGCGGGAGGAGTTACGCGCTCGATGGTAGACGATGACAGACATGCAGTAACTGTACCCTGTATATCTGTAGTACAAGTACGCTGTGCCCTGTACATCTGTAGTACATGTACGCTGTAGCCTGTACATCTGCAGTACATGTACGCTGTGCCCTGTACATCTGTAGTACATGTACGCTGTACCCTGTACTTCTGTAGTACATGTACGCTGTACCTGTGCTTTCAGGACTTTATATCGTAGGATACGATATTTCGTGCAATTAACACAATTAAATTGATAGTATTATATAAACTGAAAATTCTAATAGTAATGTTTATTTTTTGTATTGAAATTATTTTTAATTTCAAATCGAAATAATGTTATGTGTTTTACTTTGTGTGCAGAGAACACAAGATGGCCGAAATAAAGATGGCGGCCACGATGACCGCCGTGCTGTTATGGTACACAGGTTTGTTAAACATTTAATTTTGACTCATATTTAAGATTTTGAAAATTTTACATTCGTTCAACTTTGAAAGAATATTATTTTACCGATATTCATATATATTGCTCAAGAATAAACACGTCCATTAAGATACAAGTTTAGTTTTCATGAGGAAAACCTACTAACATTTTTGATTCCTACGTCGTAAAATTTCTCAATCACTTATAAAAATATAAAGATTTAAAAAGGAAAGATGTGAATGCATTTTTTTTTATTAATCCATAATTTCTTTAAATTTGAAAATTGCAAATTCTTTTCAGTCTCACTTACTCACATTCGTGCATCAGCGGTGAGTGCATGCGGCAATTCGTCATCTCTAAATACACCGCACACGAATGCTGCGAATCTTGCCACGAGTCTAACTCTGACGACTCACGACCTCAACGTTTCAGAGTCTAGTTTCCACAAGAATCTGAATGATGAAAAGTTTGATGAGAGAATCCAGTCGCATGAGCGACATGAAAGAGATGCTGGCAAGTTACGAGGACTGATAGGTCCGGTAACAGAAGTCCGGGATCTTGCAACGGACTCGTTGGTTCTAGTAACAGGAGGTCGGGAACTTCTAACGGATTCGTTGGTTCCGGTAACAGAAATTCGGGATCTTGCAACGGACTCGTTGGTTCCGGTAACAGGAGGACGGGAACTTCTAACGGATTCGTTGGTTCCGGCAACTGGAGTCCGGGATCTTGCAACGGACTATTTGGTTCCGGAAACAGGAGGGCGGGAACTTCTAACGGATTCATTGGTTCTGGAAACAGGAGTCCGGAATCTTCTAACGGTTTCGTTGGTTCCGGAAACAGGAGGTCGGGAACTACTAACAGAAATGCTGGTTCCGGCAACAGAAGTCCTGGATCTTCCAAAAGACACGTCGGATCCTTTGGTATCCAAAATACCTGGCGTTCGTTTTGGACCTGATGATCTCTCGAGCCCTCGATTGATGTCGAAGATACGCGCATTGCCTACGCGACGTGCTGCGGCACAAGACGTTCCATACTCTCGTCGACGTCGCCGGCGTCGGGACGTGGACGAGTTGGACAAGGCGTCGCCGCACGTAGACGAGCTGGATGAGGCGTCACCACCTGCGGACGAGATGGATGAGGCGTCACCACCTGCGGATGAGCTGGACGAGGCGTCGCCGCACTTGCACGAACTGGGCGATTCGTCGCCGCATGTGCGCAATCTGGGCGAGGTGTCAGCGACGGCGCCTTACATCGACCGCGCAACACCGACGAACGTGACGGCCTACAGCGGCGTCACGGCCATCCTCCCATGCCTCGTCAACAACTTGGGACAGCGATCGGTGAGTAGCGGACAGGCGGTGGGCAGGTAGACGTCAGGGGTCAGGTTGTGGCGGACAGGCGGTAGGCATGTAGACGTTAAGGGTCAGGTTGTGGTGGACAGGCGGTGGGCAGGTAGACGTCAGGGGTCAGGTAGTGGTGGACAGGCGGTGGGCAGGTAGACGTTAGGGGTCAGGTTGTGGCGGACAGGCGGTGGGCAGGTAGACGTCAGGAATCAGGTTGTGGTGGACAGGCGGTGGGCAGGTAGACGTCAGGGGTCAGGTAGTGGTGGACAGGCGGTGGGCAGGTAGACGTCAGGGGTCAGGTAGTGGTGGACAGGCGGTAGGCAGGTATAGACGTCAGGGGTCAGGTTGTGGCGGACAGACGGTGGGCAGGTAAATGGCAATAGTAGTAAGGAATGAATAGACGGTATACAGATGGATGATAGAGGTCAGTTAGTGACGGACAGTCAGTAGACAGTGGGATGACAGGTGACAGATTAATGCGCGTGGAAAGCAAAGGGATAGCATTTAATAATAGGGCAGAGGTGGATGGCAGTGAATATGTCATTTATAGCGACGACCGGTGATCAGATGAATGGATTGACGTGTATGAAAAGGTTTGGAAATGTTGTTCACAGCGGATCTCAGAACGACTTGATGATGTACTCGCGAAAATACACAAAATTACCTTAATTTCTCTATCCAATTGTTTACTTGAGAATATTTTTTACAATTGCGCTCTATCTCCTTAATTTATTCTAAATTTTGTAAGATTCTTAATTTCCTGAATTTTGGAGCTATTCTATTCAGTGACGAAAGCTTTGCCTCGAATTCCGATCAGCAAACTTTAACATTTGTATAGCTTACGGTTTGTGCCAACGGCAACCGAAAAAATACATATTAGTTTAATTACCAAGTGAAGTATTTGCTTTGAACACGCAAAATCCTGCGTTAACGTGGCATCAAAAATGTTGCTTAGATAAATAAGTGACGAGCATCGAGGCATCAAACATGCTCACATCAAATGCTCTCAACATGTAGACATGCTCACATAAAAATATTCTCAACAAGTAAACATGCTCACATAAAAATGTTCTTAACATGTAAACATATTTTCACGAGACCAACCATTAACACCATCGTCGTCTATGTGGACGAAGCTAGTGAACTCTTCCTTTAACAACTCTAAAGTTTAACTCTCAGATGTGGGAATTTTAGAACATAGTTTAGATGAATAAAATGAATAGAACACAGGTTACATGAACAGAATATTCGTTAAATGAGTAGAGCGAGGGTTAGGCGAATACCATAAGCTTTAATAAGAACATAAGTTAGAAACATAATAGAACATAGAAACATAATAGAACATAAGTTAGATAAATAAACGAATTGTTAAATAAAATTCAACTTACGACTTGCGTGCGAATGTGCGACGGTGCTAGTCGAAACTTCATACTTCAAGATTACTAAGCACAAGAAGTAGTAAATTTGTTCGTCGACTTATTTTTTTGCTATTAATCTTACTGCTTCATTGAATATTTTTGGCTAAAATACTGAAACTTTAAACATTTTTGAGCTAAAATAAATTTAGTAATAATGTCGAGGCCCATTTGTCGTATTTTGTTGTTATATATTTAAATCATTGCAGTGGCTATAGTTCTACACACATTTGAGGTTGCAGTCAACTTGCAGCCACTGGAGCTTACACTGAGAGAAATGGGCAGGTCTGGATGGCCCACTTTGATGAGTCAACCGCGTCCGAAAATCGATGCACTTTTTTGACTCACTTGCCCCATTTGTGGGTCATACTGACCCATTAAATTTCAAGCATGACTCACTTGTGGCGTTAAATCGCTCTGACGCTCAGATGCTAACTACGTATCCATGCTACGGGTGGCGTCATTGTCATAAGAGATTTGACGTCACAAGTGAGTCATGCCTGGAATTTAATGGGTCAGTATGACCCACAAATGGGGCAAGTGAGTCAAAAAAGTGCATCGATTTTCGGACGCGGTTGACTCATCAAAGTGGGTCATCCAGACCCGCCCATTTCTCTCAGTGTATTTTCCTTATTCATAAAGTATATATCGTTCAATAAATCTAAACATTTCGAAATTCATGATTCGGGGAATTTCACTGACGCAATATTGTTGAAAGTATTCATTAGCTTCGCCAACAATATGTACAATATCCGTAATCATCAGAAGATAAAAAATTAAGGCAGAATGATAGGCGGCCATCTGGTGGCCGGCTTTTTAGTGACCAAGATCTGAAAGATTAATCATTGTTCTGATCTGAAAAATAGATCTGAAAACATTCTCATTGTAGTGTTGCATTGAGAAAAAAATCCACAGCAGTCGTGGGGATGAAACAAAATGGCGACAAACGTATTATTGCGACGCCTCATTAAAAATCTCATTAGGGATGACGTGCTGATTGTTTAATAACTAATTAATAACATGAAAGGCTCAGAGATAACAACAGTACCTAACTGACATGTTTGTCTAACATATCTTGCCTTAAGAGTCATGCTATACGTCATGTTTGACGAGTCATGCTCAATATGTCATGTTGAACGTCTTAAAAAATGAGTCATGCTCAACGTGTGATGCTGAACGTCACAAATAACAAGTCATGCTCAATGTATCATGCTGAACGTCATAAATAACGAGTCATGCTCAATATGTCATGCTGAACGTCTTAAAAAACGAGTCTTGCTCAACGTGTCATGCTGAACGTCACAAATAACGAGTCATGCTCAATGTGTCATGCTGAACGTCACAAATAACGAGTCATGCTCAACATGTCATGCTGATCGTCACAAATAACGAGTCATGCTCAATGTGTCATGCTGAACGTCACAAATAACGAGTCATGCTCAATGTGTCATGCTGAACGTCACAAATAATCAGTCATGCTCAATGTGTCATGCTGAACGTCAAAACAAATGAGTCATGCTCAACATGTCATGCTGAACGTCACAACTAATGAGTCATGCTCAAGATGCCATGCTGAAAGCCATGCCTAGCTAGTCATGCTCAACATGTCATGCTGAACGTCATGCCAGAAACCATTTAAACACATCCCTCCACACTGCATGTTATGTGTTGCATGTTCTCATTGTTTGAATAAATTAGCGGCAGTTCTTATGTAGGTTGAATATGCCATATCTTCCATAGAAATGCTGCATTAGAGCGAAGCGGCAACATGGGATGTTCAACATCGAAATTCAAAAGGAATATAAGCAGTGCGACAAGTGAATAATTTGAACTCATAGATCACTAGCTTCAACACATCATTTCAACATGCAGAGAATATCATCACAACATGCAGAGGCTGGCGACATTAATGGAGAGCAAGGAAACTATGACAACCGAGGCGGCCTTCAGAATACCTCAATGACGTGTTCTTTGACGAAAAATTTAAGACGCGGGATAAAAGCTAAGGCTTGAATACCGGCATCGAAGTCTAGCCAATAGTCGGCCGTTGAGTGGCCGCCGATAAGCCAACCATTATTTATGTCGGGGAGAAACATTATTATGCGAAATATAAGGTGCAATCACTCAGGCTGGGATGTTACTGAGGAGGTGGTGTGTTGAAAACTGCCTTGAGGTGCAGCTTGTTGGAGAGTGGAGAGTGGAGGGGTGGAGAGTGGAGGGGTGGAGAGTGGAGGGGTGGAGAGTGGAGGGGTTGAGAGTGGAGGGGTGGAGAATGGAGGAGTGAAGAATGGAGGAGTGGAGAATGGAGGAGTGGAGAGCGAAGGAGTGGAGAGTGAAGGGGCGGAGAATGGAGAAGTGGAGAGTGGAGGGCTAGAGAATGAAGAAGTGTAGAGTGGAGGGGTGGAGAGTGTAAGGATGGAGAGTGGAGGGATGAGGAATGAAGAGGTCGAGAATGTGGAGTCTTGTGTGAAGAGGTTCTGGGTAGAGGGATGAGTAGTAAACGAAGTAGAAAATGGTAAATGTGTAGCGAAAAGGGCATTATTCACCACGCACTACATCACATCAGCGACAAATGACTTAGTACTTAAGCAACTGCTTTAATATGTAAAACATAGCAAGTTCGAAGTGTCGCTAAGAACCTTTGCACGCTGGCAGAGACTTCGTAATAACAGAGCCAGAGATTAAATGACGCGCCACAAAATTGCAGAAGCCTCTTAACGCGCGGAAATTGCAGACGCAAAAACCTGTCGGCAATTTCTGCCGGAAGATTGGCAAAAAAAAAACATTGTTTTCCCCAGACGCCTTGCTAGCTCTCTTATCTTCTTGCGATGATGAGAATAAAAAATATTTAGATTCTGCTGATGAGTATTTTGAATTATGTTGCAATTTTCTAGCACGGAAGCGATGCTTTAAAAGACGTTGACGATGATAACAAAACTGCGGGTTATACGTCGTGTACGCGGCGTGATAATCGTACGTACACGTACACCACGTGTAAACATATCGTGTACACCACATAATCGTACGTACACGTACACCACGTGTACACATATCGTGTACACCACATAATCGTACGTACACGTACACCACGTGTACACATATCGTGTACACCACATAATCGTACGTACACGTACACCACGCGTACACATAACGTGTACACCATATAATCCTACGTACATTTACACCAGGCCACGTATTTCGTGATACTCGCGGCAAATTTTTGAATGCTTCGACTGCGTTTATGATATTGATCAATTCACTGATTTTATAGCATCAGTATCTGTGCTAGCAGCTCGATATTCAGGGCTAATTGTCACACGTAATATCCCCCGTTCGAGACTTTGAGCTAAGAATAATTGTTTCAATGCGTTCTGAATCACACCTTTTGTACCAAACGTTTCAAACGCTTTAGGGAAATTGTGTTAGTGAAACTCTTGGCGAAACGATAAGGTTAGAAAAAATGCTTGACGCTAAATGGAATCATCGACCTGCAGTGAAACTTTCAACGTTAAGCCAAATGTATGTAACAGTTTGCACCTTTGATGTAGAACGTGTATAATTTTTAAAGATTTTCTTCGGAGAACGAAGTTTTCGACAAAAATTGTCTTAGCTCCAAAAATTCATTAACAAAGCTCTCAACAATACGCTTACCGAAGCATTTACAAAATCCCACTCTCCTTGAGTACCCAAAAATAAAAACGTTCGGATAAACGTTTTACCGTTCCAAAAACGCTACCGATGCACAGCCTTGTATTTCTGCTCCATTGACGAATCCTTTGGGAGAAAACGAATCGAAATTCTTCAAAGGGAAGACGCTGTTTCTTCATGCGCCATATAAGTTCAGAGCTGAACTGATGTTGCTGTTTTAGTCTTCAAAAAGCCATCCCTTTTTTTTCTTCTGCACGGCGGTGCTGAAAACTTCAGTCGTTCTGTGATCTAAACTTTGATACGATCTTGGAACTTTGCTTTCTGTTAGTGCCCCCTTGGTAATGCCCTCTGATACCTGGCAACTTTACTAAATGAGTTGTGACTTGAGTTTGCCGCGATACTGCAACGATATGAGGCAATTTCACTGTCATGTGAGGTCCTGTAACTGCAATATGAGGTCATGTCACTGCAATATGAGGTCCTGTCACTGCAATATGAGGTCCTGTCACTGCAATATGAGGTCCTGTCACTGCAATATGAGGTCCTGTCACTGCAATATGAGGTCNCTGCAATATGAGGTCTTATAGCTGCAATATGAGGTCTTAGAGCTGCAATATGAGGTCTTATAGCTGCAATATGAGGTCTTATAGCTGCAATATGAGGTCTAGTCACTGTAATATGAAGTCTTATAGCTGCAATATGTCACTAATGTCATCATGTCAACTGCAATGCATTGAGCGCTGAAAATAAGAATGAATGAGAAAGAAAATTCGGGATTCTGGAGAAGCTTTATCCATTTAAATTTTCCTCAAAAAATTCACTCAATTCCTGTATTAATGAACAACAATCTCTATTTTCTTCAAGAATTCTCTCATTTCTCGCGATAAGAGCAGCATCCGAGCGGCTGTCACGTATACGAGGTTCCTTTTTATTTGATTTTAAGAAGAAAACTTTCCTCAAACACGAACCTTTGCAAGACTTAAACTTTCTTCTTGATGTTTTTAAGTTTTTGTTTCGCATTGACGCATTATTTGTGCTATTTGAAAACTCGGTGGCTTCGTTAGTGATACACGCTGCACCAACACGTTCAATCAAACACTAAACTAATGTGTTTGTTTTCCATCGAAGTGTCCAGTAAATACAACCAATTAATAAAAAGGTTCGTTTAATTTAATTTATCCAGTAAATTGGCCCCATCGATGAAACTAATTAATAAAGGGTTAATTAATAGATGAATATTTTATTTATTTTAATTATTAAAAGGGTACAAATTAATCGAAATGGTGATTGAAACCGCTAATCAGGCCCATATATGAAGCCCGTAGTTTCAGCCAATTAATTGAACCCGTTAATTGAACCATAACTTAAGACTCTGGCGCGTTATCAGAAGCAGATAGGGGGTTGGGCTGGGGGTTAAGGACGGGGTGGGGAGAAGAAGAGGTTCAGGGGGGGGAGGGGTCTAGGCCTAAAATTTATGGTGAAAAACTTGGTAATTTAGTTGAGGGGTGCGACGGATGGCCGGTGAAGCTCCCGCGTGTCTGTGGGGACGAGGGGATTTGCATGCCAACAAATTACCCTTGTAATAGGGAAGGTGGGGTTAGGGGGGAGGGAGAGGAGGGTAATTAGGAAGGGATGAAGGGGAATGGAGGGGCAAGCAAACAAATTAGCCCACAAAGTGGAGGGGACTCTTAATATTATTATTCTAGGAATAATTTATGGTGGGGTCAGGTTCAAACGAAATTCGAGGGCAAGTCACATCAATGAGGGAACAGTCGGGGAATAAAAAGAAAATAATTGGGAAATTACTCTCACTACCATTACTTTCCCAATAATTGGGGAAATAGAAAAAATAATCAGGCAGAATGGCAGGTAAGTTATCAATAAATCAACTCATGTGTTATGTGGCTGCCGAATGTAGAAGTTCTATAGTATTTATCGTCGGTAAATATGAGTTTTTTGCTGTTTGTTGGAGCAATTTTTACAGTAAAGTAGCTGCACTAGAGCATAAAAAATTATTTTAGAGACGAATAAAATAAATTTTGCATCATAATAAAAAAGGAACCAAGTTTTAACTTGGTCAACGAGATGGAAAGAGATGATCTGAGAGATGGAAATTCAAACATTCAAATAACGCTTCAACGAATTCTATTGAAACTGTAATAGCCATCATGAAGCTGGTATCCATATATTGAAGAATAGATATTAGTTACCTAGAGAAATGATGTTCTTATAACATTTGCTGATACTACGGCGTAAAAATTAATACCTGTCTTCACATGAAAGAATCAAGTGTTTGAATCATTTTGTAAAAGATTACCTAAAATATAGATGAACTCCGAGTTCCTTGAAAATAAGTTTTTGGTGTGAGAATACAATAATATTGAAAAAATTGAAAACAGATTAGTTTCACTGATAACGTAGGCTCCGTGAGCTACTAACATGAGTGATTGCGCAGATGTCGTAGGTGTGTATAACGTAATATTATGCAATTGATAACAATGTACAATTAATGATATTGTACAATTGATAACAATGTATAATTAATAATATTGTACAATTGTTAACAATATACAATTAATTATATTGTACAATTTATAATATTGTACAGTAGATAAAATTATTCAAATAATAATATGGTACATGTGAAAATATTGTTCGAATTGATAATATCGTACAATAAATAATATTGCACTAGTGACAATTATCTTCAAGTTTCGCGGCAGCGCATAACATTATATTGTACAAATTGAACATTGTACACTTAATAATATGGTGCAATTAATAATATTTTACAATTAATAATATTGGACAATTAATAACACTATGCAGGTGTCGTGAGAGCGTATAATATTATATTGTACGAATTGAACATTGTACAATAGATAATATCTTACAATTAATAATATTGCACAATTACCACCACGGCGCAGGTGTCTTGGGTGCGCGTGCGCGACCTGCACGTGCTCACCGTCGGCCTCTTCACCTTCGCCAACGACGCGCGCTTTGAGAGCCGCCACGAGGACGGCACCAACGAGTGGGTCCTGCGTCTGAGGTGGGTCATGGGGGTCATGGGGTGGGTGCTGGGTGGGTGATGGGGGTGGATGATGGGAGTCATGGGNCCTGTCTCTTATACACATCTAGATGTGTATAAGAGACAGGTCATGGGGTGGGTCATGAGGGTGGGTCATGGGGGTTGGGTCATAGGAGTGGGTCATGGGGTGGGTCATGAGGGTTATAGGAGGGCCACGAGTTGCTCATGAATGTACGATCAGTGGGTTAAGCCAGGACAAAGTATTTGATTGCCCTTCATCAATCAAATCTCCGACTTCACTTAATTCCAATAACTTCTGTTAAAAGACCGCGGCATTCACAGGCTTGATATTTTAGATCTTCATCAGTCGATTCCTGTTTTTCTTTTGGATCCAGAATAAATTAGTTTTTTATTATAAGTAGTTTCTTAAGTTTGATATGCTGCATGAGCTTGTCGACTTGCAGCGCTATAATCGGTTGCCTCACTCGCTCATTTTCATTGATGTTTACGGGCAGTAGATATTAACATCAATTCTATGATCCATTTGGGAGATCGATTACAGACTTTCATGAAAATATCATTCTCGAAGCGTAGCATAATGATATTGACACATATTATTTATATACTTTTTGGAAGTGAATCTAGGATATGAATGGATGATTCATGTCGCTCGAGGTTGTAGCGTGCTGCTCGCACCCGAGACGGTTAAGTCTCATGATATTTCATCAAAATTTCAATTTATTTCTTGAAATTGTCTCCAAGTTCGTGCCCGTCGCGACCTCAAGTTAACTGCCCAACTTCATATCCTTTTAGCACGAGTTATTTGCAATCTAATATGCAGTCTTTGGCCGACAAGAAAAGTTGTTCGAAGTTCCAAGTTGATGAGCAGAATTTGGCAAACTTCTGTTGCCGCCAAGTTATCGCGTCAGGCCATTTAACTAATGGGGCTTTTCATGTCCACCGCCATCTGGGTCAGATAATGGCGGGATGTGGGCCAGATAATGGAGGAATGTGGGTCAGGTAATGGCGGGATGTGGGTCAGGTAATGGTGGGATGTAGGTCAGATAATGGCGGGATGTGGGTCAGGTAATGGCGGGATGTGGGTCAGGTAATGGTGGGATGTGGGTCAGGTAATGGAGGGATGTAGGTCAGATAATGGCGGGATGTGGGTCAGGTAATGGTGGGATGTGGGTCAGGTAATGGCGGGATGTGGGTCAGGTAATGGTGGGATGTAGGTCAGATAATGGCGGGATGTGGGTCAGGTAATGGCGGGATGTGGGTCAGGTAATGGTTGTCTCTTATACACATCTTAATANTCAGATAATAGCGGGATGTGGGTCAGATAATAGCGGGATGTGGGTCAGATAATGGCGGGTAATGGCAAGGAGATGTTTTAATGGCTGCCAATGTTAATTATTTAGTCGATATTTGTTTTGAGGAAAAGCATTGAAAATGCAAGAAAAGAATTTCAATCGGGAACAGGCTTTAAAGGACTTCGTATCGATAAATTTTCATTACTTGTCCGTTCTTACAGGAATTTAGTTCAAATTTGTTGCTTATATAACTTTTTGGCTTAACTTATGAACCCGCAGGAGCACATCTTAAGATTATGAGAGCTTATACACGTAACTTAATCTTATTAATCACTGTACTCGTAACTCCTACGACGGTCCTACTGCTTATCCTTGCGGTCGGCTGAACGCGCTACAAATCCTTTACGATATTTACGAATAAAAATACTGGCTTCAGAAATAACATCGTATATGCTTTATAAAATCACGCACTTACGAACTGAAAAAATATCGGTATTTCGTAGATATTAAATAACGACTTTGATGGTTAATTCACGGGAAAAAAAGTTTTACAATGATACCCCTGTACTGTGTTCTTTGAATGTGTTCCTTATTAATATTATTGAATATGAATAATTAATTTTAAAAATGAATAATTTATTTTAGTGATAGTCATTCAATAACACATAATCTCTAATTTCAAAAATATAGAATTACCGTTTTAATTCCATAGTAATAATACCATACAGTCACTATATACGGTTCAAAAATACATATCGTACACCATGTCAACGACTAAACAATATGTCATTCCCAAGACCATAATTTGTATTGAATTGACGCATAATTTGTATTGAATCTGAATACATTTAATACATTCAGATCTAATATATTTAAGATAAATTTAAAGTTATGGTCGCCATATCGCCGCAGGTACCCGCGCGCCTCAGACTCCGGCCTGTACGAGTGCCAGGTGAACACCAAGCCAATCATCAGCACGGCGGTGATGCTCACCGTGCTGGGTGAGTGGGGGTGATTATGAAGACCTAAGCCAATCACCGTGCTCGGTGAGTGGGGGAGGTTATGAAGACCTAAGCCAATCACCGTGCTGGGTGAGTGGGGGAGGTTATGAAGACCTAAGCCAATCACCGTGCTGGGTGAGTGGGGGAGGTTATGAAGACCTAAGCCAATCACCGTGATGGGTGAGTGGGGGAGATTATGAAGACCAGAGAATGTGTAGTTGATCGTTGTTTATTAAATATTTTTATTAATCACCGTTTTTCTTACTATTTTGGAAGTAAAAATAGCGTATTATATCCTTATTTCTAGGAATATAATGATTACTGCCATGTATATTTAGAGGGAAATGGTATTGAGACGGTGGTGAATTATTATTATTGTAGATCATCCATTCTCATATCTATCGTTAATCGCGGGAAGAATTTTCCCACCTACATAATAACCGTGATAATTGACTTGCAAGAATTTCCCGTGTCTTGTAAAAGTTTTAATTGAGTCTTAAATAGCAGCGTAAGTTTTATCCTCGTTGACTCGTCTTTTTTTAATTTCCGCAGACAATTTTGTATGCTCGAATGATTTTACTTGAAAACTCATCGACTAGTTTGTAATTTTTATTACAGTGTTATCGTGGATTCGGCTGACAACTTCCTGTGAACTTTCAAACGAAATGAACTTTCCATAAAATTGAATTCAGAAGGAACTTTCTGTCAACTTTACACCGTCAAAATTTTTCGCATATTTTTAGCCACAAGTAACTTTCCATGAACGTTCAACCGTTTCGCATTTTCCATGAAATTTTCAGTTCCAAGAATTTATTGTAAATTTTCAGCTAGTCGAACCTTCTGTAGCTTCTAATTTTTACAGAAAAGTTTTAACCATATCAAAATTTCCGTCAGATTTGTGCATTTTAACTTTATCCTTAGTTCACAGCTGCGCTAAGGCAAGGTTTTATCTTAAATTCAGCACAAACAAAAAAAATTTCTTTCAGTCTCATGAAGGAGATTTGGGCGTTCTACCGATCAACGGAAGATCGATCAATTAGATGAGTTGCGCGCGCCTGGATCATTGATGAAGACACACGAGTATCTGCGATGATCTTGATGTCTTCATTGATACCTTCGATGCTCATCCATCACCGCGGCTGTGAAGAAGCCTGGATGCTCATATCCATGCGTCATCCATCAGTGTAATGGGACGCCCTTCCCTCACTTCCCTCTCCTTGCTCCCACCGTCTTCATTTATCCTTCCCTCACTTCCCTTCCCTTGATTTCACTCCCATTCCTTATACTTCCCTCACTTCCCTCCCCATGTTTTCACTCCTTTTCCTTATCCTTCCCTCACTTCCCGCTAAATGCTTCTACTCCTTTTTCTTATCCTTCCCTCACTTCAGGCCCCATGATTCCACTTCCCTTCCTTATCCTTCCCCTCATATCCTGCCCCTTGCTCTCGCCCTCCTCAGTAATCCTTCCCTCACTTCCCTTACTCTCCCCTCACATATTCTCTTCTTCTCTTCCCTTACCTCCCCAGTACCTATACTACTTTAATCTTCCTAAAATACCATATTCTCACTCTCCTGTCACCCTTGGTCAATATTTATCTCCAAATAATTTTTGTTTGATTTGATTGCTCATATTTAACATAGCCCATTACTGCCATCAAACATAGCCCATTACTGGTATCAAACATAGCCCATTACCACCATCAAACATAACCCATTACTGCCATCAAAGATAGCCCATTACTACCATCAAACATAGCCCATTACTGGTATTAAACATAGCCCATTACTGACATCAAACATAGCCCTTTACTGCCATCAACATAGCCCATTACTGCCATCAAAGATAGCCCATTACTACCATCAAACATAGCCCATTACTGGTATTAAACATAGCCCATTACTCCCATCCAACATAGCCCATTACTCCCATCCAACATAGCCCATTACTGCCATCAAACATGGCTCATTACGGGTATCAAACATAGCCCAATACTGCCATCAAACATAGCCCATTACTGACATCAAACATAGCCTATTACTGACATCAAACATAGCCCATTACTGATATCAAACATAGCCGATTACTAGCATCAAACATAGCCCATTACCGCCATCAAACATAACCTATTACTGACATCAAACATAGCCGATTACTAGCATCAAACATAGCCAATTACTGCCATCAAACATAGTCCATTACTGTCATCAAACATAGCCCATTACTGCCATCAAATATAGCCCATTACTGCCATCAAACATAGTCCATTACTGTCATCAAACATAGCCCTTTACTGCCATCAAACATAGTCCATTACTGCTGTCAAACAGCCCATTACTGTCATTAAACATAGCCCATTACTGCCGTCAAACATAGCCCATTACTGTCATCAAACATAGCCCATTACTGTCATCAAACATAGCCCATTACTGCCATCAAACATAGCCCATTACTGCCATCAAACATAGCTCATTACTGTCATCAACATAACCCATTACTGCCATCAAACATAGCCCATTACTTCCATCAAACTGCCCATTATGTTTTAAAAACTTCCAAACACAAACACACAACAAACACACTTAACATCAACACAAAATCATTCGCAGAGATTCAGGTTCCTTCACTACCAACGTAACAAACAGTCCTGACTTCGACTCGCACATTTCCGATAAAAAAATCACAAATTGTCCCCGGCCCCGACTCATACATATTTCTCCAATAAAATAACAAACTGTCTAGGTTTTTATTCAAACATTTCACCTTCTATTAGGTCATGACTTTGACACGCGCATTTTTCCCGCAATAAGCATCAGGTTCAACAGGGCCAATATAAATCGTCGGGTGTCGATAGCTGCCAATTGCCTGCGCTTGATTTAATTCGATGCGACGTGTGCATGTCAATGTTGTTATTTTATTAATTTTATTAAGAGTGACAGTAAACGTATTAGTGGGAGGGGGGTGAGGGGAGGTCCCCTACCCCGGATGAGGGTTGACGATGTTACGAGGATTATTGAATGATATTACTAGGCAATGGAATTAAATTGCGATACGATATGAAAGCAGAAATTGGGCTTTTTTGGTTATTATCAGTATTTATGAAACATTACTTGTAATAGTTTGTTATTGATAGGCAATTGATAGTCTCAGGAGTATTTAAGCAAAAAATTTACGAATAGAGGAAAAAATTACGTTTTGAAGCAATAAAATGAACTATTTTGTTTTAAAATATCAATTGCGGGCAATAAAAGTACATTAAAAGGCGAAGAAAAGTTATTTAAGTGTACTAAAGCCGCATTAGTTGATGATGTAAGACTTCTTTCAGAAAGTGAATGAGTGCTACTTGCCAATGCTGTGACGTTACTGGTGATTAAGTTGTCAGACATTCAGTAACGATGCCAAACATTCAAACAACCTTATACCTGACACGTAATAGCCATCATTAGGCATCAAAATAACGTCCTTAGGCTATGTAATGATTTTACACGGCAACATGACTGGAAAATGATGTTATCACCTGAAAAATTATTTTCCAGGTGATAACATAACCTGGAAAATGATCACTTCCATAACACTCCCTCGCATTAGAAGGACCATCATCGCATGTGAAATTAACTCTGTTATTCGTAAATTATCGGGATATTGTATATAGGGGCTGTTGGGGCGCGTGTCCAGGATACTTATCGTGTCGGGATATTGTATATAGGGGCTGTTGGGGCGCGTATCCAGGATACTTATCGTGTCGGGATATTGTATATAGGGGCTGTAGGGGCGCGTATCCAGGATACTTATCGTGTCATGATATTGTATATAGGGGCTGTAGGGGCGCGTATCCAGGATACTTATCGTGTCGGGACATTGTATATAGGGGCTGTTGGGGCGCGTATCCAGGATACTTATCGTGTCGGTATATTGTATATAGGGGCTGTTGGGGCGCGTATCCAGGATACTTATCGTGTCAGGATATAATCCAAGATACATAACGACAACATGACAACATTATGGCAACATTATGGCAACACGATGGCAACATGCTGGCAACATGTCCCCCACAGAGCCGCGGGCCGTGATTGCCGGCGGCGCGGAGGTGTTCATCAACCGCGGGTCTTCCCTGCAGCTCTCCTGTAGCGTGGCCCCCCCGCCCCGCGCCCCCCTCACCTTCACTTGGTACCGCAACTACAAGGTGGGTCAACGGTGGGTCAACGGTGGGTCAAGGGTGGGTCAAGGGTGGGTCAAGGGTAGGTCAACGGTGGGTAAAACATTGGGCCACCGGAGAGTCAATCGGTGGGTTAAGGTGGGTCAAGAGGTGGGTCAAGGGTGGGTCAATGGTGCGTCAAGGGTTTGTCAACGGTGGGTAAAACACTGGTTCAACGGAGAGCCAACAGTGGGTTAAGGTGGGTCAAGAGGTGGGTCGAAGGATAAGTCGGGGGCAGGGCCGAAGGTCCCGAGTAATGGGCCGGTTATGGTATTATAATACATGGGAGGTAGGGGTATCATGGTAACAGGGGTATCAGGGTAACAGGGGTATCAGGGTAACAGGGGTATCATGGTAACAGGGGTATCAGGGTAACAGGGGTATCAGGGTAACAGCTGTCTCTTATACACATCTAGATGTGTATAAGAGACAGGTTGGGGGGTGAAGGGGGGAGGATGAGGAGGTGGAAGGTGAGAGGTTGGGGGGTGAGAGGGTGAAGTGTGAGGGGGTGGAGTGCGAGGGGGTAGTTATGGATGATGACTGCGGCAGGAGTTGGTGATGAGGAGGATAGGGGCTAGAGTGTTGAGATGGCAGGTGTGGAATAGATGGCTGAGAAATGGATGGATGAATAATAAGATGAAATAAAACGGTATTAAAGGGTGAATACAGTATAACGAGGAAGTGAAGATGATGTATACAATGAAAGTCTGATATGTGAGACTAGTAAAAATTTGGAAAAAGTTCATTATCGGGAGAATGCGAGGAGTGAGGAGGAGTAGAAGGAGTGACGTTGTGAGGGCATGGGCATTGCGTGTATGCCCCGAGGGTTAAAGGGACCGAATTTCATGTTTAAGGTAATTTCGGTCGGAAGGAACCACACAAAATGGTCATAGATGGGTCAAGGAATTGGTAAGGATGAATCATATGCTAGATTTTGGTAGGATACTCGGTAAATTTTCCTTACAATCTTTAGATGATATTTCAATGGAGGTTCTTTTATTGGATGTCAGATAGTATATACCAATGTAATATAATGAGAATATATATCTATGTAATGTCCCTTCACTTCACAAAAGTTGTAACGGACGCACGATTGCCTGTTCACAGGAGAACAGCCCGCGGCCATGCAAACGAACAGTGGCATCATAGGAACAGCAGGAGCACCACTGTTGACTGTGACTGTACCACTTCTACTGTTGTTTGTACAGCCACTGTACAGTGCACCTCTGCCAAGTACTGTACTCAGTTACCTGAGTACAGAATTCGTACGTCCTATGTACACAGCAGGAGTGTTATCTGTTATATTGAAGCTGTGCTTAGCTGTATGTACAGCCGCTGGGTTCTTCATTACAAAGTACGTGCGAGCAGCTCTGAAATCTACGAATTTTTCCTCTATACATGCACAGCGATCTCTGTATTCTGCTGCACATTCACTGTGCAAAAATGTAAAATCCGTTGTTTACTGTTCATTGAACTTTCTGAACACGTTACTAATGCGATGTAAAGTTGGCAGTGAACAGACTAGTAGTGGTCCTTCTCATTTGTACAGTTATAAGCACATGTTATTCATTAAGAAGTGTTACAAGTCTCAAGTGTACAGCACATGTACGGCTGGCACAAATTGCGATTGCTTCGGTAATGCAAATCTCATCAGTTGATTCAAACCCGTGGGAAAGAAATGAATTTTTCCCTGCAGATATTCAGATTACAAAAACATTATTAACTTATCTACTATGATGTCTATTTATCTTTTTATGACTAGCTTCACGTTGGTCGCGACTGTAATAATGTAATGAATTTGACATTTTTGGCATATTCTTCACGCAATTCCCACATTTTTTCTGCCCTCTTTGTTCTCAGTGTTAAACAAGTAACTGAAATTCAGTTCACATATCATTCAGACTTTTTATAAAATTCTTGCAAATGAAAAGCATGATTAAAAGTGATATCGGAGTATTAATAGCGAAATGTTTTCCAATATTGTACGACATATGCACTATATTTATTATCCGTGTTTTGTGTGAACTCTATACCTTCGAAAATCGATTGAATTTGAGGCGGTACTACCAAAACTCACTCATACTACCAAACTCTGCGAAATCTCCAACAATTCATGCATTAAATCTAGAGAGCAGGAATGAATACGCATTAAATCTAGAGAGCAGGAATGAATAAGCATTAAATCTAGAGAGCTGGAATGAATAAGCATTAAATCTAGAGAGCAGGAATGAATGCGCAGGAATGAATGCGCAGGAATGAATAATCATTAATTCCAGAGAGCAGGAATCCTCATTAGCCGGACATGTCAGCAGGAATGAATGTATCCCAGCAGGCAATGTCAGGTTGAATCAACGTTGAATCAACGAACATAACGTTGAATATTAGGTCGGAATTAAAAGTGAATCAACGTCATTTTTTCAACGTCGTGCATTTCGACGTTATTTCAACATTGAAATCGCGTGAATACTATGATATTCATGACAGAAAATGTTAACCAGATGAAGAAAACTTTTATAAATGCGCTTTTAACGTCAGAATTAAATGCAGTTTCAACGTTGAAAAAAACTTCGAAATGTACGACATTGAAAAAATGACGTTGAATCACTTTTCATTCTGCACTAATATTCAACGTTATTTCGACGTGGCGAAGTATGTTGTCTCAACGTTGATTCGACCTGACATTGCCTGCTGGGTATGTTCTAGAAAACATTCCTCGATCAACAGAACTCCTGAGTATTCCCATTTCAGTTCGAATAATTATACATTCACACATTCACTAAACAAATCTGAATAATTTGCAATACTCTAGAGAGCAGGAATAATCATCATAAGAAAAAATAATGATGAGATGCTACTAATACTGATAATTCTGAGTAATTCTAAGTAATCCATGTATTGTTCGTGCACTGAATGCATGACATTCAGCGCTCCAACATTTCCATTGTTGAGGTCATCGACACACCAACTCAGCTTACATGATCGTCGTATAGGGTCATTTTCACTGATAGTCTTTAATTTATTAATATCACTATATTTCACAATCATCCGTTATATCATGTACAATCCACTGTAATATACACAATTCACGTGCTGGCCAACTGATGTGAAGATGACTAAGTCTTGAGTTTGAGTCTCTGGTTTGAGGCTTTCCTAAAAGAGTAAAATGAACAATAATTAAACTTCTAACTAGCAAATAAAGTAAAAAATATACAAATCAAATAATGGAACACAATTATAGTATATACATCGATTCAAATCAATTTCACATATAGCAATTCAATAATACACGAAAGGACCTAGCACACTACACGTACCTCCGCTTCGGGCTTCACACCGCACAATAATCTAGCAGCATCTTACACCTTCCGCATTCCGACTTCCGTAAAGTCTAAACTAAGATGGCATTGAACAACTTCACAATAACTGATGTATTCGGAGTAAAATAATACGTAAGATGATAAAACATGAGCGTACCCCAACACCATGCTCTGCATCTGAAATATAGCAATGAGAGAGGCTTTATATACCTATATATGTAGCCTCTAGCTATGGGTCCGAAACACATAATAAAGATACTATGAATTCAGTACCAAACAAAATTCACCTCTCAGCTCTAATACATTTTCCAACTCTGCATACATTTTCCAGCTCATATACATTTTTCAACTCTGCATTCATCTCACATCTCGGCATTCATCATTAAACTCGGCGTTCACTCCACCCTTTCATTCGCAGCAAAACTTTGCACTAGGAGAAACGAGTGGGTCGTTGTACAAAACTCTGCACTTCCACCACTCGACGCCATTGTTGCCTGGCTGCTGCGTTTTAACGCTGAAAAGCAGTGAGAGCTTCCCCTCGGTCAGAATACCGATTAAAAAATAATTTGTGATCTGAGAATACAAGGAAGTAATTTTATAGTGAAGTTAAAAGTCGCCTGGGGAAAAAGATTAGAGATTTGACAAGCCCCAATGTTTTTTTTATCATATTTTAACGTAATCCTTAAAACATATTTTAACGTAATCCTATAATATTTTGAGTCTGGCCATAAGTTCTTGGAAGTACTTAGATAAAGAATTGATAAATATGTTTTTTTGCATTTCAGACCCGCACCTGAAGTTTGGTAACGTCGGTGTTTGGTCACCGAGACTTGAAAATTACAAAACTTTAGTTGGAAGCAAAGGAGGGCGACCAGCAAGAATATAATGTCGAGTTTAAAGAGTAAGTTCGAAGCGGCCTCTAGACGCTCAATATTGTGGCGCAATATGTGGCGTACGAAACAATTTTGAGAGACTGCAGTCAATGGTGAATAGTTGTGCTATAAATTGCGTAATCGTGTCAATGTACCTACAACAATATCATTTATTGGAAATTTTTTTAATTATTTCTTTTTTTTTGTCTTTTTTTCGCCATATTCGCAGTATGATCAGCTCAATTTCCGGCTAACCCTTAATTTCAAGACGAACATAATATCCCATTCCACAGAGCTGAAACACTAATATATTCCTGAGACATAACAGAATAAATAAATGTTTTGCTTTCTCGTCGCCCATGATCGATATGTCGCTACACAAAAACGACCACCGCTATCCAGACCAACAACTTATATAGCGCCGTGCTGGTGCCGGACTCACAATAATTTTCCAGTTAGCCTAATATATTTTCAAGATAATGAAAATAATACGAACATCGCACAACCCTTCAATATGGCCTGCAGATGCTACATTTCTCTGTGCAAACCAAAAAAACTACCAAACGTTAAGGGTACGAAGAAAAATTTGAGAATTGAAAGCTTTCAAGATTGTGGTATCGGCCTCTCAGTGCGTGGCGACACGATGAAAGTGTACAAATACACTCACATCTGAGTCAAGGTTACAGAAGGACTACGAGACGAGGACAATCACCACAAGACATATTTTAAAAACAGAAGAACAGAAATGCATCTCCATGAAGCGACAACGTTGCTTCTCGCTTCGTTTTACCAACAAGGAGAATCGGCTACGAGTCTGGTTGCGTTCAGTGACAAACTGATCGTAATTCTACACCGGTACTCAGTTTTCAAAGTAGCATTCACTTCTAACATTTAACTCCGTTGTCTAATGTGCTATTAATTGTGCAGTTCAACATTCATTATTGAGCGTGCCTGTGACCATTGAGTGTGCTATTCATCATGCAGTGTGAATTTTATTTTCTCTGTGCGGTGCTCGTTTCGACTTTACGGGCATTATTCAGCGTGGCATCTGGTTTCTGCATCACGATCAATATTCAGCTGGTTATTCTTTATTCAGATTGGCATTCATTATTCCGAGTTTGCTGAGTGGGCCCTCCGGAATAGCTAAAGAAATTGGAATTTAAAAACACGGCATCAGATCCTGCATTCAAACGAGACGATCGACGTACAATGGCAGCTGCGAAGTGATTTGTCGTGAACAGGACTGAAGTGGGAGTGATCTGCCGTGCATAGGACTGTAGTGGGAGTGATCTGCCGTGCATAAGATTATAGTGGGAGTGATCTGCCGTGCTTAGGACTGTAGTGGGAGTGATCTGCCGGGCATAGGACTGTAGTGGGGGTGATCTGCCGTGCTTAGGACTGTAGTGGGAGTGATCTGCCGTGCTTAGGACTGTAGTGGGAGTGATCTGCCGGGCATAGGACTGTGGTGGGAGTGATCTGCCGTGCATAGGACTGTAGTGGGAGTGATCTGCCGGGCATAGGACTGTGGTGGGAATGATCTGCCGGGCATAGGACTGTGGTGGGAGTGATCTGCCGTGAACAGGACTGAAGTGGGGGTGATCTGCCGGGCATAGGACCTTAGTGGGAGTGATCTGCCGGGCATAGGACTATGGTGGGAGTGATCTGAGGTGCATAGGACTGTAGTGGGAGTGATCTGCCGAGCATAGGACTGTGGTGGGAATGGTCTGCCGTGCCTAGTACTGCAGTGGGAGTGATCTGCTGTGCATAGGACTGTAGTGGGAGTGATATAAGACTCCCAACACGCTGCTTCAATTTTGGTGATCTTGCAACTACTCGGTAACCCCGAGCTTGCGAATTGGATTGAACTGTCTTAGAAACGAATGTTCCGCAACAAGTATAATAGTGATAAATGATATAAATTACAACAGTGGATGAGAACAGTAGATGTTCCAGCAGAAAAATAGGCAGTGGATGAGAACAGTGAACGCGATCTCACAAGTTATCACTTGTGAGGGAATTCTGTAAAAACTTAAGTTCTCCTTATAACTCCGTTCTTATCGGTATGTTATTAATGAAAATGTTGTTTCTTGAACGCGTCTTAACGGAGATTCTTGTGGACACATCGCCCTTGCACTTATGGTAGGAAGTTGCTGCCGAAATTGTGGAAATGATCTGAATGCTGGATAAGGGAAAATTTAGACCAACGATTACGATGTTATTGAGTAATAGTTGAAATTATGTTTCATGTTAAATCAATATTGAATATGAATACTTGAAATCAAAAAAATATTCGTAGAATGAATGGGATTTTTGAGAATTATTTCTTTGTCCATCAAAATGTACATCATTAATACTTTATTCAGGTTGCAGATAATTTAAAAGTAAGGTTGAATGTAAGCTATCAGAAAATTAATCGCTTTCAGTAGATATGAAATGTCCAAGTAACACTACTTTACACGGCATAAAAAGGTAAAGAATTCCAGGTTATCGAGCAGATGAGTCCGAAAGTAAATGGACTTTGGTTGAAAAAAGCATTATTTTGATGTGAATTACGCACTCAGAAAAATGTATGGTTAATATTGTCCAAATATAGACTCACTGTCTGCATGTAGCGCAGAAAAGCTCTTCCGCCAGGCTAAAGTGGGTCTGAGCGACCCACATAAGGAGAAAGGGTGAATCACTATTTGGACAAAGTCGAACTTATTTCTCTCAGTGATGGCGATGATGAATATCATCATCATCTTCCTTCTTTAGTTTTTAGTATCGTTAATTAATTAATTGTCGCATCATTCATCCATTCATCGGTTCACTAGGAGTACCAGTATTTGTAGAAATCATTCTGCAGACAATCACCAAATATAATGGTCATGCTCTAAATATATTAATAATGCGTTTTTATCTTAGTATAAATATGTTGGAAAAGTTATGAATATTTTGAACGAATTCTAATTAACCTAAAATTGTTGCTTTAAATATTTTTAACATCTTCTACCATTTTTTTATTTCACCCGACTCGACTCATGTGCAAAGTGGTGCACAGAGTTCACCATATTATAGTCGTCTCTTATACACATCTAGATGTGTATAAGAGACAGACATTATAGTCACCACTCATGTTCACCACATTATAGTCACCACTCATGTTCACCACATTATAGTCACCACTCATGTTCACCACATTATAGTCACCACTCATGTTCACATCCTCAGAACGAACGCAACATTTGCGTTTTCGAAGAAGCTTAGCCGTGTTTTCTGGAAGTGAACTACCACCATTCAACTCCCCCATTCAATTCAATACATTATCAACTTACACGCCCAAGCCGCTAAAACTTTCATCCCGATATCGGATACTTTCTTGCCGCTATCCTGCCTATGTTATCTAGAGGAAAAGTTGGGCTAAAATTTGTTTTCTCCTCTTCTTCCGGATTAATTTGAATCCACTAAGAGGAAAATTTAGGATTATAAAAACCTTGGATTAATCGACCTGAGCTTGATCCCTGCTCGAGGTTTTCGATCGTTGCGATCTCCAAGCTCGTTTGGAAATATTATTGAATACGTTAATTAATTCATGAAATTTAAACCAGAATTGGTTATAATATTATGGCACATTTTCTTATTGGTTCTAAGGTATTCTCATATAAATTTGACAGTAAAAATTCAGGTAGTGAAGAATGAAATCCAGTGAAATAATACAGGAATTCTACGTAATTTTTATATTTTTTTATTAGACCAGAAAAAATTGCTGTGACGTTTCTGTTTTAAAATGAGTTACAGAATCGAAAAAATGCCTGGAAGTTCCGTATTACCAATTATATATCATTTCCAGATATCTATGGGATCATTTACCAAGGATAAATTTTTATTTCTTTTACTAAAATTGGGCTAGGTAGATTTCTCCATGAATCCGACGTCTCAGTATTTGAAAGCAATTATTTTCCCTTGAATTCAAACGTTAGTTTCAAAGTTTTTGCTTTCATCTCAATTTTTCGCTGCTTGAGCTCGCATAATTTACTTGCAAGTGGCAGCGATATCGCAGAAACTTTTACACGCTGAAAGTTTACTGAGAAAAAAACACTCCGTCTTGTTGATGATAATGTTTCCTTTTGTAAGGATATTTTGTAGCATTTTTAACGGTGTCTCTGAGGCGAGTCGATAGCTGCTAAAATGTAAACAAAAATGTTGGTGGAGAAGTTCAGTTCCAGTTCCTCAATTTTAATTTGAATTGCGTGATGTGAGCCTTGTTCGTTAAGAGTTTGAATTTTGTTGATATTCAAGACTTTCGTTAACGTATTGCAAAGCGAGACAAATGCCGTACATAAAAAGGCATACATAGGAGATAAACATGCACTGCTACGAGTGGTGCATTCAGTGCGCCTGAACATGCACTGCTACGAGTGGTGCATTCAGTGCGCCTGAACATGCACTGCTACGAGTGGTGCATTCAGTGCGCCTGAACATGCACTGCGACGACTGGTGCATTCAGTGCGCCTGAACATGAACTATGAGAGGAGTGCACTCGGTGCGCCTGAACATGCACTATGAGAGGAGTGCACTCGGTGCGCCTGAACATGCACTATGAGAGGAGTGCACTCGGTGCGCCTGAACATGCACTATGAGTAGGAGTGCACTCTTCATGCGCAAATTAGGCGCTGTTGGCTCGCATCGTCGCGAGCGTCGTCGTGCAATAGAGCGCCTGCGTTTGATGAAACTCAGAGCGCTGCTGTTGAACGGCATTCGCTTCAATGAAATCTAATGAAGATTGATTGATTCGCGGGTAATTAATTTGTGAAGTGAAAGATCGTAAGATGAAGATGTTTTAAATGAAAATAATAAATTGGCAATTTCATCGGTCATGTAGTTAGGCAAATCTGGTCTAGAAAATTTTGAGTGTAAATTTAAATTTTGAATCACAAAATAAATTA